TACGCCGCCAGTGCCACCACCTGTTGGAGCACCTCCTGTGCCCGCACCAGCGGTGCCCGAACATCCTGATGACGAGCGCAGGCTTGTCGATTTTGCAGAAGGTGGTGAGCTTCGTGATGAACCTCGGCTTCGGGCCGAAGCCAGTTCACCGGAACACCAACGGACTCACTTTCCCAAGAATCCCTTCTGCAAGATTTGCAACATCGCTAAGAACACCTCAATGCGTGTTGCCCGGAAACCAGGGGGGCGGAGTGACGATCTTCTCGACGCACCCACCGCTCCCTACCAGCAGCTCGCTACTGATAGCGTGATCTTGGCGAAAGGCGATGAACATGTTGGCATCGGCATAGGCGGAATAAAATCCCACCATGTCATCAGGGATGTGTTTTCCGGCGCAAGGGTCGCATACCCGGTCTCGAAGAGAGACATTCCGTCGCACGCAAGGAATCTCAGGCATTTCATTGGCCTCAGAGCCAACGAACTCGCTCCACACTGTCTCATAAAAATGGACGAAGCTGGAGAGTTGCAGGGAGCGGCCGAGGAAGTAGGGATGATCCCCGAAACTTCGTTGCCGAATCGCTGGCCACACAACTCCGAGCTCGAGCGAGATGTCCGAGAAGAGAAGGAGTGTTGCAGGAGCATACACCATCAATCGGGTTTGCCCTACTCTCTGCACACGCACTCCTATCCCTTTGCATGCCTCTCGATGTCTTTCGACCGACCGTCCACGTGCGATCCGACAAAGACGCAATGGGAAGCACTCACCAAGGAGAAGTTCGATGGCGTCCGCTGTTGTTTCGGACAGCTCGTTTGGTATCGCCTAAAGTCAGCTGGAAAGAGAACCTTAGAACCTAACATGGCCCCAGGCTTGTTCATGGGTTGGCGTATCGATCCAGGGATGCGATATCGTAGGGTACTAAAAGTTATGGACTACCAAAGTTTCAGGACCAATGGAAATGTTACTGTCCATGATGTGCCCGAACCTGAGTTGTTCGTCGAGGAAGGCGATCCTGTCTTCCCGATCGCGGCCGCCCTGCGAACAGGCGATGGCGAGGTTCCTGAGTATGCCATCAGAGATGTTCCTTTCATTCCTGAAGGCATCCCAGCCCCGTCAACTCCGTCAGGCTTTAAGTCACGAAGTGTGTACATCACCATTGAACGGATTATAAAGTTCAAGGAGACTCCTGGATGCAAGGCCTGCACCGGCCATGCTAGTTCCAGGCATCACACTGACGAATGCCGCAAAAGGTTTGCAGAGCTAGTTGAAAGTGAAAAACAAGAAACGAAGGCCAAAAAGGCCGCAAGTGAGGAGGCCACCAAACCAAGTAAGGGTGAAGATGAGGCAGCTGCTATACGCGCTGCAAAGGCGTCCTCCCTGGAACCTCCAGAAGCCCCAGAGATTGAGGCACCTGAGGAGGGAGACCCCGATATCGTCCGTGCCTTGCTTGGAGAGCCCGCCTCTTCTCGGCCCAGTGTTCCGCATACCGACGCTGTCCCCGCATCAACCAAGAAGGATGAATGGGTTTATAAGCCTAGTGGTAACGTGTTAATCCGCGTGCATCATCAGCCTAGGATTAAACTCTTCACTCCCAAAGATGTCGGTGACTGTCCCGTGTCAGTGTGCAGAATCACGCCCGGTAGGACCACTCGCGTTGTGTCCCAGCAAGATGGTAGCAAGGAAGATATCAGTGATGGTTGGGCAGGCAGATTCTCAGCACATCGAGAACTCCCTGCGTTCTGGACTGGCATAACCGTTTTTAGGTTATATAGTGATTCCGAGCATTCGGCTGCAGCTTTAAGCGCAGCAGGGGGGCTCAGTCCTCACGAGGGTAACATCCCAGTCAGCTCAGGAGCAGCCGTTACCGTGTCAACCGCTTCCAGCACAACACTTGCTGAGACCACGAGGGAAAAGCCGTCCGTTTTCGGTAACCCTTGCCAGCTTCAGGGGGGCCAACGCCCTCCAATCACCGTTGGCAATAAGCGTGCTCGCAAGCGCCTAGCGCATGATGCTGTTGGATCTCAACATCCCACATGTCCGATTAGCAAAGGAGTACATTGACTTAGAGTCAGCCGTTGCGGATGAGCAGCTCGCGTACCAAATCTCGCAGTGCGTCCAACCCAACTTGTGGGCAGCCATTCCATGTGTCTCAGGATCGCCCTGGCAGAGGCTGAGCCTCCACCGGTTGGGTAAGCCGTTTAAGAAAAAGTTGGGAGAAAAAGTAAAACAGTCCAAAGTGATGTTTTCAAAGTTTGCATTGCACGCCGAGCATGTTTTGAAGGCCGGCGGATCAGTCACCTTCGAGTGGCCACGTGACTGCGAGGGCTGGCAAAGGCCAGATGTAGCCGAGTTCTTCGAACGCGTTCCACGGTGTTTCGTTCCACGGCTGTGCTGTCGGCTTGACGGATGAAAATGGTTCACCCATCAAGAAGCCTTGGCGCATCAAAACTACATCAAAGGCCCTTGCCGAAGCATTCGCTGATCGCCAGTGTCCGCACACAAAGTCCGAAAAACATACTCCAGCGGCAGGGAGCCGAACCTCCCGCACTGCATTCTACCCTGAGCAAATGTGTGGTTTGATCGCCAAGGCGTTTTATCCCAAAATGTGTAGGACTCCGGTTCAAGCAATGCCCGTTGTTCCAGTCACTCAGCAAACGGAGCATCGTGTTAAGGAGCAATCCCTAAAGCACGAATCTCCTCTTTCCGGAGCGGATGACTTCACCCTCCTCGTTGAATCAGATTCCAAGACGAAGGAGATCGTCGAGGAACTCCTGGACGTCCAAGGTCTACTCGCTAGTGCTGTCGGCATGCCCGCCAAGGCTGTTGAAACAGAAGCACATGCAATGGTCACCAAACTCCTGTCCCGTGCCGAGATGCTTGCGTCTCCTGAAGCATTAGAGGCAATCAAGCAGGAGGCGACCGGACTCCAAGACGTAAAAGTATGGGATAGTTCAACGGTCCGGGAGAAGGCTGAGGTCGCAGCTCAAGCGCAACAGTCTGGGATCAAGGTGCACTTTGGTCAGCTCATGACGATCGCCAGCATCAAGTTCTATGAACTCGCGAAGCACCTCCAAAAGGTAAAGGGGCGCATCGTGTTCAGGGGAGACTGTGCAAAAGATGAAGCCGGTGCACCCGCGGTGTACCAGGAACTGGGGGCCAACCCCACCTCGGTACAAACGCCTGTCTGGCGTATGGGTGTATCCCAGGACACACGGTCACCACCGCTGACGCGGTTAGGCCTATGTCCAGGCGTTCCTTAGCTCGCAGTTTCAGACGTGGATTGAACTCCCACCCGAGCTGCGGCCAAAGGAATGAGGTTCCAAGTTCGTGAAGCCCGTGGTCTTGTTGATGTGGGAGGCACACCTTAAGAAACTGCTTAAGCAGCTGGGAGGGGAAGAAATCCCAGAGTTTCCTGGAAACTTTTTCTTTAAAGGGGTAGGCCTTATGCTCTCGACTTACGTCGATGACTTGACCCTTTCGGGTCCCGCAGATGCACATGAAGCCTTTTGGGAAAAGCTTGCAAAATTGATAAATGTAGAGCCTCCCGAGCCGATCTTTCGGGTGCTCGGGCGTAATCATGTCTTTATAGATGGCCCCGCAGAACCTCAAGAGCATGATCTGAATGCAGCTGTAAGCGCATTAAAGGGTGCCGTTGCCTTTGACATGAATGACTATGCCCGTCAAACTGTAGAACTGTTTTGTTCTATAACCGGCACTCAGCCCGAGAAGCTCCGGAAGGTGACTACTCCGTTCTGTCCAGACGGATCACTTCCTCCTGAAGATGATCAGTCAGCTGGTGAGCTAGCCCCAAATGCGTGCAAACTCCTCATGAAGGCCTTATGGCTGGGACGACTAGCGCGTCCTGACATCATCAAGCCCATAGGTGACCTAGCAACCGCCGTGCAGAAGTGGTCTCGCAACCATGATAGGCAACTCGCCCGTCTTATCGCGTACATCCACTCGACTACGCACTACCGGTTGGTAGGAGTCATAAAGGACAACCCGCAAGATCTTCACCTCGCTCTGTATGCGGATGCCGACTATGCTGGAGAAAGGGATGCGAAGTCCACGTCCGGTGGCTTCCTGGTCCTCAAAGGACCGAACACCCATTTTCCTTTAGCGTGGTTGAGCAAACGACAGACATCAGTGTCGAGATCCACCACTTTGTATCAAGAGGGTCTTCCCTCTTTGACCTTATGGGAACGTCTGCTTGGACGCCCGGTTGAGCTGGTGCTGCACGAAGATAACCAAGCCACTATCCTCGTTGCCAAGAAAGGTTACTCCCCAAAAATGCGGCACATACAGCGCACTCACAAAGTGAACTTGTCCGCACTTGCTGAGCAGCTTGAACCCGGCACGGGTGTAGTAATCAAGTATGTAGCTACTGATCTCCAGGCAGCTGATATCTTTACGAAGGCACTGCAGCCCTTGAAGTGGGACCACGCTCTAAAGCTTTTAGGCATCCGAACCAATTTGCTGAAAAGCTGAAAGATGTCCGGCCTCAGATGTCCAAGCAGGAACAAAAGTGCAAAATCATAGGTAAGCCCGTAAAGGACCTTGCATCACATAGGTCGCAGCTCAAGCGCGACTGTACAATACATGTCTCTTAGTGAGCACGGGGAGGGGGGAGTTGAATAATCACGACCCTTGACCCCCAAAGAGGCACCCCAGAATGGTGTGCGTGTATGTGATGTTGGAGGCCCCGTTGATAGCAAGAACATGCTGAATGGCAATGCCCATTTGGCTCAAGATGCCCAGAAGATCAAATCCAGGGTTTGCGCTTGCCGGACTGGGGTTAATAAGGGTCCCGGTTTCTGGTTCGCGTTGTTTCTTTCCCTGTTGAGTAACATACATACATACATACATACATACATACATACATACATACATACATGTGATTTGCATTGAACACTTGTACAGACCTCTCGAGAAGCCACCTTGGCTTGAAGCATGTGACTGCTCGTTTCCGCTCAAGGGTGGGCAGGGCAGTGGAGCCTCGACCATGGCAGCGGCGGTGTGAACAAGCGCAGGGCGCACGGGTGAGACAGGGCTCTCTTCATAAGGGACAGGGTCTCCTTCAAGAAGGTCAGATACAGGGTATCTATCAAGGCAGTGATCCTTGTTGGTCTTCCTTTGGTGAAAGGGGTTGCCACCACTTTCACATTGGTAGCGGAGCCTGAACCTCAAAAGAGGCGGCTACAATTTTTGTCTCCGCACTGACGAATGCCTACGGGAGGTCCCGGTGTGGACATCCCAGTTCCGGAAGAAGGAGCTCCTGAAGCACGAACAGCAGCTCAACTGCCATGGAGTGCCATCCCGAAGTTTGTACCTGGGGAAACAAACATCTCTGAGTACAGTCAGAAGCTGAGCTTTTTGGCGGCTGTATGGCCATCTGAGCACATCGCGCTTCTGGCACCTCGTGCAGCTCTCCTGGTCGAAGGATCAGCCTTCAAGAAGGTCTCTCGCCTGGACACGGACAAGCTGAAATCAACAGACACATCAGGTGTGAAGCTGTTGGTTACAACGCTTGGTGGTTCCTGGGGAAAGACCGATTTGGAGGAGCGCTATGAGTACTTCGAGAAGGCCCTCTACCAGACTATTCAGAAGTCGGATGGGAGCAACGACAGCTACTTGGCTCGCCATGATGCTAACTTCGAAGAGTTGCTGGCTGGGTCCACGACCTTGGAAGAAGTGAGAGCCTATGTCTTGCTGCGACAATCCAATCTGAATCCGGAGGACAAGAAGAAGATAGCGGTTGAGCAATCGGGTAAGCTTCAGTATGAGCCGGTGGCCAAGGCTGTCCGATTTTTGGGCAGTCGCTTCTTCCAAGAGTTTCAAGGTGGCCGTCAACCCGAAAGCAAGACCCGCATCTATGACGTCAACTTCACGGAAGGCCCTGAAGAACCGACTTTGGGTTCCTCAGGGGCTGAGCGAGCATTTGCCGCTCAAAACCAGAGTCAGGATGAAGTCGAGCCAGAGCTTGACGCGGAGTTCATCGAAGTCATGGTTGCGCAGGAAGATCAGGATGCCCTCATGGTTGCTGGATTTGAGAACGAGCTCGAGGAGCTATTTCAAGATGTACCAGCCCTTCATGAGGCCATGTCCAGCTATGTGGAGGCCCGGCAGCGCTTGATGGACAAGCGCAAGACACGTGGCTTCTGGCCAGTCAAAGGCCGTGGAAAAGGAAAGGGCTTTGCAGGCTCTTTCAAAGGCAAGGGCAAAGGCAAGCGTGAACAGATTCTGGCACGCATTGCAAGGAGCAACTGTCGGCTATGTGGCGAAAGAGGCCATTGGCGGGCAGAATGCCCAAATCGAGATCAAGGCGAGAAGAAGGAATCCGCCAACGTGGCCATGTCGGCCACGGTGGCTTCGGACAATGAAGTCGATGAGGTCTTTGAAGAGCAGGATCTCCCGGAGGACCGACATCAATCGAATCCACAAGAAATCACATGTGAAACCGCCTTTGTTCTCCACCTTGTTTCTCGTGAAAAAGCACAGCAAATGGCCAGTAGCTTTTTGCATTCATTGCCAAATCCCCGAAGATATCACCCGTCAGGATTCGCCTCCAAAACAGCGGACACTTGTGAGCCCCTGCTCAGGAAGCCACATCGTGAGCATGAGACAGATCGCACCCCGAACCGTGGATCCACGTTTTTCCCAATTCTCTGACAAGTGCTGTGCCAGTGAATCCGTGGTCCTCAGCTGTGAGCAACAGGCTCACGCCATCTTGGACACGGGAGCCAGCAGGTGTGTGATCGGCCTGGATGAATTCCTAGATCACCTTGACCCCACCATAGTGGCTCAAATTAAGTGGTCCCCAAGCCAAGTGACTTTCCGTTTTGGGAATAACCAGACCCTGTCGAGTCAGCATCGCATTTATTTGCCTCTGCAACACGCTCATAAAGACAGTAAGGTTTGGCTTGCCATTGAGGTTGTACCTGGCCGCACCCCCTTTTTGTTTTCCAAGAAAGCATTTAAGCAGTTGGGTGGCGTTTTGGATACCGCCACGGACACATGCAGACTTGACCGACTCGCCAAAAGTCAAAGACTTACCTGCAGCGCATCCGGCTTGTATTTGCTTGACATGTCCAAATTGTGCCTCACGCCAGCACGTGATCAGAGACCTGCCCACATCCATTTTTGTATGCAAACCGAAAGTGTGAAATCTGAGGCGCCTGACGTGCCGATTGAGCATCCCCCCAAGTCTGCTAATCAGGAGGGTAATTCTGCCACTTGGGGTAAGTGTCAGCAATTAACTGAAGGGAGTCAGATTAAATCAGGGGTAAGATTTGCTCTCCATAATGTCCGCCACCGTCAGCAACATGCCGCATCAGACCCATCAGTGAAATCACCGCATATGCCAGAGCCGATTGCCCAGATCCCAGCCTCCAGACCCGTGCAGCGTGGCATCTCACGATATAAAGTCGGTGTCCGAAGGGGTACTCAAGGTCCTGACCATGCTGCTTCAGATCATGATGAACTACATGGAGGAGGGAGATCAAGAAGGAGTGGAAGCCAAGCTCGAGCAGATGGCTGCCGAACTCCAAACCCAGAGGACGATCCTGCAGGAGCTGGCCCACCATCAAGTCCGTCGGCCAGACTCACCCACAGGCCAACCGCAAGTGAGGGGTCAACCGGCATCTCGGGCCAAGGCAGCCATGCCACCGAGTCGCCCGCCTGCAGCGCCCAGCATGCCCATGGAGAGAGTGGAGCGGATCCCGGACAATCGCTCAGAAGCCTCACATCAGTCTTGGCTCATGGCCGAGGAGGAGACCCAGGAACGCATCGCGCCGAACAATCTGGAGTTGGTACCTGTGCAGGAGCCTCGACATCCACCGTCACTGGTGGAATGGGGTGCTCGCCGATTCACATGGGGCAAGAAGCACAAGGGGTCCACGTACGATCAGGTGTATCGGACCGACCCGGGATACATCACCTGGTCACAGAGCCGATACCAATCCTTGCCTCCCGAACAGAAGGATTTCGTGGATTACTGCAGCACGCGAGACAGACTGGGCAATCCGTGAAGGACCCAGCCAGATCACCGAACATCCCCAATAGATCAGGCTCATCAATTGTTCTGTTAGAAATCTATGCCGAAGCCAATAGTACATTGACTCAGGTATGTCAGAACAACGGTGTTTCCGCCATCAGGTTTACCAAGGAAGACGGCGATCCGTCCACCATCACGGGACGGAAGATCCTGTGGCAGTGGATCACAAGTGCTTGCAGCCCGAACACATTTGGGCAGCGCCTGAATGCGGCCCTTGGAGCAGTTGGTCCCGCTTTAACCAGTATCGAAGCGTGGAAGCTTTTGACAACATTTGGAATCAGCGTCAGGACCAACATGTCCATTTGCAATTGTGCAGCCTTTTGTGTCAGTACCAGGTCAAACGAGGACGCCATTTTCATTTGGAGCAACCCGTAGGATCTGTTCTTCTTGATCAACCCGCTGTGAAAGTCATATGTGAACATTCCCGAAGAGCTGTGTTCGACATGTGCCATTTCAACCTGAAACACCCTGTGTCCGGAAAGGCCATTCAGAAGCGCAGCCAAGTGTGGACTACTTCAGCAAAGTTGTTGGAAACCCTATCCACTTGTGAGTGTTCCAAAGACCATGACCATGTTCCCATTGAGGGGTCAGTTTCCCTGGATCGCCAGAGTGTTGCACTCTCCAAGTGGTCCGCGCGCTACTGTGTGGGTTTCGCAAAGACTGTGCAGAAGTGTCTCCGGGAGGAGCCACATCACAATGTGCTTCACTTGGAAACCGCATGTGTTGCTTCCAAACATCCTCTCATTGGAGCCGAAGCAGAGCCGAAAGTCAAGAAAGCACGGATACTGCACCGCCACCAATTCCCATTCATGGACCAAAATTTTGTCAACTAAATCCCGTAGAAAAGGCGGAACTCGTCAAGTTGCATAAGAACTTGGGACATCCCGATCCCAATGTGTTTGCTCATCATTTGCAAGTTCAAGGTGCACAGCCCCACATTGTGGAAGCCGCTCGTGAATTCGTTTGCGATGCATGTGTCGAATCAGCCAAGCCGCGACATCAGCGTCCAGCCACACTGCATGATCCTAAGGATTTCAATGACACTGTAGGCATTGACGGTTTCTTTTGGCGAGGGCGAGCTGGTTTTCAGGCGCATGTCTTTCACTGCATTGATGAGGGTTCATTGTTTCACCTTGGCAAAAGGATTGAACAAGCCAATGCCGACCACGTCATTCCAGTGTTTCGCGACATGTGGTTCTCATGGGCAGGATGTCCTCAGTCACTGTACGCTGATCCTGCCGGAGAATTCGTATCCGAGCAATGGACCGCCTCTTTGCAGAGTCAGAATGTGAAAACTTTCACGACCACCGAAGCCTGGCAGAAAGGGCGTGTTGAAAGGCATGGTCAGGTACTTAAAGATATGCTAAGTCGCATGGATACCGGCTAGACCATTCCCGACCTCGCTGCTTTCGATGCCGTGCTGCAGCAGTGCTTTCAAGCAAAGAACTCACTCAGCCGACACCGTGGGTTCTCACCTGAACAAATAGTCCTTGGAAAATCCACGAGATTACCCGCGTCAATTTGCTCTGATGAAAGCACAGCATCCCATGAGTTGGCTTTAGGAGGACCTTGAAGGTGAGCGCTTCCGAGCCAATCTTGAGAGACGCACACAGGCACGTAAGGCTTTCCTATTGGCTGACAATGAGGCCTCGATCCGAAGAGCGACCCTCCGCAGGAGCTGCCCCCACCTCACTTCCAGAATGGCCAATGGGTCCTATACTGGGTTAAAAGGCCACGCGTAAGTTGCACTGAGGTAGGTCGATGGTATGGTCCAGCTAAGGTAATCGCTCAGGAAGGGCAGTCCATTGTGCGGGTCAGCCATCAGGACAGGTTAATTTGATGTACTCCGGAGAATCTGCTTCCAGCGTCCCTTCGGGAATGGCAGAGCACCCACTCAAGCCAAGGTCAAAGTAGTGAAGCACCTCCTCCGTTCCGTTTCGCACGAAATCAGAACCCCGAATATGAGATAATCCTTCCCCCAAGCACATTACCGGTGCAACCTCCAAATACGGAAGGGTCAGAGCCTCCTCCTGAACCCGAGCACGAGGCAACACCAATGCCGAGTGTTGCGCCCTCCAGGCAGGAGAGTGCTCAGCCTGATCCGAGCGCCGCTCCAGCCGAAGAGCCCCCATCAGAGGGATCCGACATGGATACAGGTGAATCAGGTGATCGCCCCACCGGTGATCAGGACCCCATCCTTCATTGCATGGAAATCCCAAATAGCAAAGCCAATCACCAGGATAGTCTGTGTATCTGGGAAACCCTCTCTAATGCCATTGGTAGTAGCTCAGACAATCATGTAGAATCTGTTCTGCTGCTGAAGACGGCTTGCCCTTTATTCAGGAGCCGATGCAATGTGATCTGATTGAGCAAGCTTTTGTCTTGGAGATTCCCATGACCTCCCGTGACATAACTCGATGGATGAAGGAAAGTTCACCTGAGCAACTCATCAACGTTGCATCTGCCGGCAAGAGGGCTCGTGCCGAGGTCCATATTCGAGATCTCAAGGCTGAGGAACGGACTCTCTTTGAAGCAGCCAAAAAGCAGGAACTGTCCTGCTGGATCCAGACCAGTGCCATCCGTCCCATACTGCGGCAGAAATTGAATCCCGATCAAATTCTTGGCAGTCGCTGGGTACTCACCTGGAAAACTGCGGAGGACCTCCCAAATGGTCGCAAAGCAAAAGCCAGACTTGTGGTTTTAGGATACCAAGATCCCGGTCTCACTGAGGTTTTGAGAGATGCCCCCACCTTGACCCGTGAAGGCAGGAATACCATTCTTCAGTGTGTAGCATCAAATAAGTGGACCCTGTGTTCCTTTGACATCACAACAGCTTTTCTTCGTGGTAAAGCCGATGAGAAAAATCCTCTTGCTATGGAACCTCCAGTCGAGCTGCGACAAGCATTGGGCCTTCGACCGGACCAAGTGTGCGAGCTAGTAGGCAATGCATACGGTCGTGTGGATGCACCCTTGCTTTTCTATAAAGATGTGCCATGAGTTGCGGTCTCTTGGATTTAAAACACATCCGCTGGAACCTTGTGTTCATTATTTGGAGACGGTTCACAACAGCAAACGTGTTTTACATGGCACCCTTGGAACCCATGTAGATGATGGAATCGGAGGTGGAGATTCATATTTCCGAAGCAAACTGGAGGACCTCCGGAAAGCTTGTTTTAAGGAAAAAGAGTTTGTCTTCACTGGCATCCATCTTGAGCAACTCCCAGACCACTCAATTCGATCTTCGCAACGTGAGTACACTCGAAGTACTCTTCCAATTGACATAGGCCGATCTAGGCGCCAAGAGCCTGAGAGTCCGGCTGCTGAATCAGAAGTCAGCAAACTCAGAGGTTTAATCGGAAGCCTGCAGTGTGCGGTGTCTCACACTCGACCAGACTTAGCATCGCGTCTCGGAGAAGTCCAGGTGCAGATGTCTCGGCCGACTGTGGAAACTCTGCTCTCTGCCAACCGGGTTCTCCGCGAAGCCCAGGAGCATGAAAATGTTCGATTGACCTTTCAGGCAATTCCGCAACAAGATGCAACTTTCGTTTCCTTTGGAGATGC